CCAAGTCTCTTGCCAACCCTACAATGGCTCCCTTAATTAACATATATACTTCCCTGCTCCCATATCTACCCTTCCTCCATATCAACCATCCCATTCCCCTAAGCTCTCCCCAATCCATCCCTTCTCCCTTCTCTCTCCCCATCTCTTTTTCCCCCAACCCGCCTCCACCCCCATGCTCCCAACTTCTGCCCAGCGATCTTGTCTACTTCCAATATCCAGGAGGATAAATACATGTTTTTCTTTGGGTTCACCTTCTTATTTAGCTTCTCTAGGATCATGAATTATAGGCTCAATGTCCTTTGTTTATGGCCTGAATCCACTTATGAGTGAGTACATACCATAGTCATCTTTTTGGGTCTGGGTTATCTCACTCAGTAAAGTGTTTTCTATTTCCATCCATTTGCATGCAAAATTCAAGATGTCATTGTTTTTTTTTTAACCTCTGAGTAGAACTCTAAAGTGTATATGTGCCACACCTTCTTTATCTATTCTTCCATTGAGGGACACCTAGGTTGTTTCCAGGTTCTGGCTATTACAAATAGTGATGGTATGAACATAGTTTAACAAATGCTTTTGTAGTATGATTGGGCACCTCTTGGGTATAATCCCAAGAGTGGAATTGCTGGATCCTGAGGTAGGAGAACATGAACAAGAAATTCAGGACAGCAAGGGGTGCATTCACCCACGGAGATAGTGTGACTGATCTAATGGGAGCTAAACAAGGCCAGCTAGACTGGGACTGAACAAGAATGTGATCAAACTGGACTCTCTGAATGTGGCTGACAATGAGGGCTGACTGAGAAGCCAATTATAATCGCACCGGATTTTGATTCTACTGCATGTGCTTGCTTTTGGGAGCCTAGTCTGTTTGGATACACACCTCCTAGACCTGGATGGAGGTGGGAGGGCCTTGGACTTCCCACAGGGCAGGACACCCTGACTTCTCTTAAGACTGGAAAGGGAGGGGGAGGGTGGTTAAGGGGAGTGGGAGGAAAATGGGAGGAGTGGAGGAGGTTTAAATTTTTAATAAGTAATTAAAATATAATAAAAAAAGAAAACCTTCCCACTCATTTTCTGAGCGATGACCACTCACTGAGAACTTCCTCGTCCATAGACCAGGGAGTCCTTGGTTACCTTTATGAGATTCTTTGTCTTTGGAATTATTTTGAGTGTTCATCATCAGCTGAAGAAAATCCACTCTGTGCTGGAAGCAAAAGAGAAGTTGCACAAATAGAAGGTCAATGGTAAGGTCAGAGGTCAGAGGTAGATCAGGAGTGCAGAAGCTCACCCTACTTTCTGAGAATGTAGCTCCCTTAAATTCACAAATGTGGTTAGTCTTGCTTGATTTCTTAAAGAACAGAAGGAACTGTAGCTGAACCCAGAAGCAATCCAGCTATTTATAAACACTTTACAATAAATTACAATACATATAATTTTAAAAAATAACATTGATTTTTTGAAAATGTTTTTGTAGGAGATGAAAATAGTATTTCCCTTGTTTTAATCACTTTTATCTATTCTTAGAGATTGTCATAGATGTATACAATGAGATATAGTCATACCCACCCCATCATTTCCTCCATTTGATTCTTCTAGATGCCTTGTAACATTTCTTCTTCCTAACTTCATGACCCCCTTTTTTTAAATAACCCACTGAGTGCAAGTGCTGCCCATATGTCCCTGTATGTGGGGTCATTCACTGGTGGACGAGAAACCTATTGGTGGTTATACCCTCTCTCTGCAGCCATTAAGTGCCAAGAGTTCCCAGGGAGGTGCAGCATTTGGAGAGGTCCTTCCTCATCTATGTTGGAGATTTGGTGGTGTTATCTTGTGCTGGTCCTGTGCCTTGTCATTTTTTTAAATTTTAATCCTTTAATCTTTATTTTATTTGTTTTGCTAAGGGTTAATTCCTGACTTATTCTCAACCAGTGTTTCAAAATTTCAAATTTTCCTCTCCCAGAAATAAAAATATCCCTTTTCTCTCTCTAAATATAACCTTTTCTATCTACTTTTATTGATAGATGAAGTGAACCACACAGCTCACATGTTCACAGCCCAACATATTACAAACCCTGTACCTCTCAGGAGACCATCACTTTTTACCTTCTCATCAGAGTTCAGCCGGCTTTCCTTCATTCTATCCACAAATTTTTTGAAGAATGCTATCGAATCCTTTGGGTATCTGGAGACATTTAACATCTCATATATTGGTGTAAGAAATGGAAAGAGTACTGGAAAGGATAGACAAATAATAAATTTTAGTGGAAATACAGGTTTTATGTAGTGATATCATAAAACAATCTAAAGAATAAGTCATCAATGTCTCAGCCAAACCATTCTCTCTGTGACGTTGCTCACACTGGGTCACCACCATAAGGCTCCTTCTGCATTGAGGAGTAGTGAAAGGAACAATTCTGACTCTTGGATTTAACTCTGCTCCTGTAGTTTGTGTGGATCCAAAATACAGACAAGGCCATTGACATGGTTCAAGAGCTAAAGGGACCTGCAGAAAAGCCTAACAACCTGAGTTTGATCCCTGCATCCCACACTGTGGAAGTAGAGAATCAACACATGCCATATAAACACCAAAGCACATGTCCACACACATAGACAAATAAATCAATACATTTCTTCTTAAGCTAATAAATAAACAAGTAGAGAAATAGTAGATTTCTTATTCGCTGATAAGTAGTGAGGAAAGAACAGCCAAGACAGCATTTGATTTTCATCTGGCATGACACAAACAACACCAGCAGCAGAAAGGGTGTTTGGACAGTCAGATGTCTGTGCAAATTAATGACATAAATATCCTTATCATGTAATAATCTTACCAAATAACCAACAGTTCAAGAAATCCAGCAGGATACTGGAAAATTTATTGAGATATAGTTTCGTGGCAGAGTACTTGCCTAGCATGTGTGAGATCTCGTGATCTTCTTCAAGTAGCAAAAGAATACAAAATGTCTTGAGAGAGTATGAAAAAAGGTAAAGCAAGACCATATAGCGAAAAGGGGCAGAGAGGCTTATGCTGTAGAATAATCTTTTTGTACACTGTGAAGATGTGTCTCTTCTAAGGCACTTTTTGATTGGCTTAATAAAGAACTGAATGGCCAATAGCTAGGCAGAACTTCCAGTAGGAGAGAGGCACTCTGGGAAGAAGAGAGGTGTAATTCACCAGCAAGATGTGGGGGCAGAGGGTTGGAATTGGGAGTTAGATGTACATATGGAGCATAGGTAATGAACCATGTGGTAGAAGGTGGTTTAATAGAAATGGATTAATTTAAGTTATAAGAGCTAGTGGGAAACAAGTCTAAACTAAGGCCAAGCTTTCATAATTAATAAGAAGTCTCCATGTCATTATTGGTGTTCTGGCCATCCAAATAAAATCCACAGGGATGCCCCCAGCTAGGTCCTTGGACAGCAGAGGAGAGGGTACCTGAATGGTCCTTGCCCCACTATCAAGCTGATGATTATCTCGAATATCACCATAGAATCTTTGTCCTGATACGGACGGAGATAGAGACAGAGACCCTCATCAGAGGAATGACTGAGCTCCCAAGGTTCAGTTGAAAGGCAGAAGAAAAAAGGAGACGAGCAAAGAAGCAGGATCGTGAGAAGTTGCTCCATAAATTAAGGCAGTGGGCCTGTTCTAATGGGAGCTCACCAAATCCAGCTGGACTGGGTGTGAATGAGCATGTGATCAAACCGGACTCTGATTGTGGCTGACAATGGGGGCTGACAGAGAAGCCATTGATAAAGGCACTGGGACTTGTTTTTACGCCATGTTCTGGCTTTTTGGGACCCTAGTCTATATGGATGCACAGTTCTCTAGGCCTGGATGTAGGGGGGAGGGCCTTGGAATTCCTACATGGCAGGGTTCCCTGCCTCTCTCAAGCAGGGTGGGAGAGGGAAGAGAGGGTGTGGGGGAGCGGGAGGGGATTGGGAGGAGGGAAGGAATGTAAATATTTGAATGGAAAGACTAAAAATAAATAAATATATAAACAGAAAAAAATCTAGGGAAAGGCTTACAGCCTTAATTTTCTAAAAAGATTTGTTTATTTATTTTGTTTACAGTAGTCTGTCTGCATGTGTGCCTGCAGGCCAGAAGAGGGCACTAGATTTCATTACAGATGTTTGTAAGCCACCATGTGGTTGCTGGGAATTGAACTCAGGGCCTCTGGAAGAACAATCAGTGCTCTTAACCTCTAAGCCATCTCCCTAGCCCCACAGCCTTAATTTTTTAAATCTCAAATATCAGACTTTACAGTGTAAAATAAAATTTTAAAACAACTAACTCCAGGGCAGGAGAGATGACTCATTGGTAAAATACTTGCTGTGCAAGCACCAGATCTGAGTTTGATACCCAGCACCTCTGTAAAGCCAAGGTCAAAGACAGGTGACCAAACTCAGATAGAAAGGAAGATCACATGATCTCCCTCAGTTCCAGAGTCTAGCCTATAATGAAAAATGCAAATATGTGAAAGGTATAAGTGTGGATATGGGATAACGCTCAAAAGAAGACAAGGAGCGGATGACACTTGGTGTTGAGGATGGAATGTAGGCAAAAGGACACAAGAGCTGTGTATGGAAAAGTATTTGACAGAGAAAATATTAAAACCCCCAAAGAAGCACCACTGCTAACTCTACCCAGCACATACACACACCAAAAAATTACAACAGGGCCTGTAGAGATTGCTCAACAGTTAGAACTGACTGCACTTGCAGAGGACCAAGATTTGATTCCCAACACCCATGTGGCTGCTCTTAACCATGCATAACTCCAATTCCAGGAGATTTAATTCCCTTTTATGGTCTAGGCAGGCCCTTAATTCATATGGTACACATATGTGTAGGTAAAACATCCAATCACATAAAATAAAAATAAATAAATCTTTAAAAAATGTTAAAATAATTCAGCTATGTGAGAGAGATGATCTAAAAGCAGACATTAATATATCTAGCTTAGTTTTTTAATTGCATTAGGATTAAGGAAATTCTAATCAAAACCACAGGTCCAGGCTGCAGCATATCCACTAAGCAGCAATGATCAAAGTCATAGGAGAGCCAAGTGTTGGGTGGGACATGGGAACTTGGAACTCTCCTGAATTTCCAGAAGACATATAAAAACCTGCATCTACTGTGGAAAACATATGTTTAGTTGTTTAATATGTTAAAATGGAGTTACTTTGTAATGCAGGAACGACAATTCTGAATATATCCAAAAACAAATATTTAAACGTAACCTTGTATTGAAATGCTCATGGTAGCAAAATTCATGGCAAATATATAAAACTAACTTCAATGTCTATAAACTAATATAGAATATTACTCATTCATAGACATGGGAGACAGTTACAATAGTGTCACTTAATAGTGTTCTAAATGACAGAGGCCTGTCACAGAGACTGTATAGTCTATGATCCCATGATGTAAAATACTCAGAATATGTAAATATAGAGAAAGTAAATTGGTGGTTGCTTAGGTCAAGGCTGCTTGAAGGAAGATAGTACAAAAGTGCAGCATGGCTAGAACAGAGTACTCTGCAGTTGACATTGGTATCAGGCCAGGTAGATCATCAGTCAGTGCAGACCCCTGAGTGACCAGAGAGCTGAGAATAAGTGACTGTTGAGTGCTGAGTCCTACATGGAGCATCTGTATCAACACCCCCATCACTCCAGGCTCAAGGAACATCATGAAAACAGATGTGGGGGTAAAGTAAGGGCCAGGATAGGTGGTGTGATGATGTGGGATTCTGTTCTGTGTGCTATGAATGTTTTATTACCATTGGTTAATAAAAAAGCTTCTTTGGGCCTATGGCAGAGCAGAATATAGCCAGATGGGATGTATATATGTGTGTGTGTATGTGTGTGTGTGTGTGTGTGTGTGTGTGTGGAGAGAGAGAGAGAGAGAAGGCAGAGTCAGGGAGATGCCATGTATGTGCCAAAGGAGACAGACCCTGGAACTTTACCTGGTAAGCCACAGACTTGTAGTGAAATACATAATAATAGAAATGGGTTAATTTAAGATGTAAGAGCTAACTAATAAGAAGCCAGAGCTAATAGGCCAGGAAGTAATGTAATTAATATGGTTTCTGTGTTATTGCTTGAATATGTGTGGTCAGGAAACCAACAGTAGTCTCTGTTTACAGTGTGAAATACTATATCCTAGACATGGCCTGGCCCACTCTCGATCTGATCACCTGCATGAGCTCACACCAATAATATTGGTCAACATCCTAGGAGGCAGAGATTGCTGGACTTACTCTTTGGCCAAAACAAGGGATGGACATTAAATTGAGAGAAAGATGTGTTGGTGTATCTGGGGGAAGCGGGGGTGAGAATTAGGGGAGGGTATAATCAAGATAGATTGTATACCTTTATGATATTGTCAAAGGATAAATAATAGAATTCTAAAATAAAGAGAAGAACAGTGTCTTAAGCCTTTAATCCCAGCACCCAGGAGGTTGAGGTAATTGGATCACTGTAAGTTCAAGGCCAGCTTGGTCTACACGGCAACTTTCAGGCAAGTTGAGCTACCCAGTGAGACTCTCTCTAAAAGAAAATTAAGTTCAGGAACAAAAGAAAGGCAGTACATGTCTTTGTGCCTTAAATATTGGATTGTGCCTTTAGATACAACATGATAAGTTTGTGAATTACATGTCAGGTGAATTATATATACCAATAGAGCTGTTAGTTTTGGTAAGTGTGGAAGAGAAAGGCTGAATTTCAAACATGGCCACAGACAAGTGCACCGGGTCAAAAGGCAGAAGAACCATCATACATACCTATTGACATAAATAATGGACTAAAAAAATCTAATTTTAATAGCTTCTTGGTCTTTTCCATAAAAGGATCATTTGGGTTGTTGAGGGAATCGACGTTCACACCAAATGCTGTGCTCGTGATCACATCCAAGCTGTAGGCTCCTAACACTCTGAGGAGATAAAGATGTGGGAATTTACCACATTCAGCAAGAAGCTTGAAATAATTTATATTCTTTGGCAAGGCTGGTGAAACCACCTCAGTTGACCAAGCACCTTCCCCTACCCACCCTTTACCCTTGCGACCTTGATACTATCACATTTCTTTCTCAACTGTACATTTTGTCAACTAGTGTCTAAAATGGAAGAAGGAGTAGCTGGACATGTGAGACACACAGAAGGATGACCCTTCTGCCCCAGTTGTCCTTCCTTTCCCAGAACAACAGTGGATGTACCACTACTCACTCTTTCATGGTGAGAGGCTTTCCTTTCTCTGCCTCTCTTCTCAAGTATTTTACCAAAATATCTCCGTACTGTTCAATGATGGGGAACATCTAAGCACAAAACACAAAGGCATCCATGGTTGTTAGGTGTGAAGACTCGAGTCACACAAACATTTCAACTAACAGTCCTTTTAGTCACCTCTTTGAGTTTTCCACTGGTGAAGGTGGGAGACAGCAAGGCTCGAAGTCTCTTCCACTCCTCATCCTTAGCTGATGAGACGGCTTTACTCATTATCCCCTCTGGGCCAAAGCTCTAGAGTCAAAAAATATAAATATTGTTCTCTGTTAAGTCCAGACCTTACTATGGTTGCAAAGTGCTAGGAGAATATTGGTTTATAACAATTTGCTTGTGACTGTTTATTATAGATCAAGCCTCATCCTACATGCAAAAATGGTCAGAATGTCCTCACAATCTTTAAGACATTGGGTGCTCACTGGGCTGCCTGTTGAACTTTTAAACATTTTTATTCCATGATCCTTGTAAATTTAAATCTCCCTGTGGTTTAAAAATTAGTTCCAGGGTTGGGGAGGGGTTAGAGAAGACAGGAACAAAACATAGTAGATTCTCCAGAGTAATGTAGATGGCAAATGGCTTGGGGACAAATACAAAGTGAACTTTGTATCACACAAGTTCTCCAGCTCTATATTTACAGCATAGACAATGTGAAAATTGATGCTTTGTTATGGTTTGTGATCGTGTGTGCATTTGCATGCTCATGTATGTGTTTGTCTGTGTCTGTATGTGTGTGTATGTAGAGTGGAACACTGGTGTGCATTCTCATTTGGAGAACAGAGGTCTGACATCTTCCTCTATACCTCTACTGTATTTTTTTAGGCAGGGTGTCTCAATGAATATAGAATGGTCTGGTTTGGCTAGAGTAGCTAGCCAGCAGGCCCCTAGGACCCACCTATTTCCAAATACTGCTCAGAAATAACATATACGTGCTGCTCTGCCCAGGTTTTATGTTGGTGATCTGCACTCAGGTCCTTTACCAGTAGAGTTATTTCCCTAGCTTGAGATACTTAAAGAATTTGATCTTTGGGTTTTTTTCTAGATTTATTTTAGTATTGTGTATATGTATGTATGCATGTGTGTATGATTGTAGGTACATATATATGCAGTGTAATCAGAGGTCAGAGGAGTGAGTTAGATCTCCTAAAGCAAGAGTTACAGGTAATTTGAGCTGCTGGATGTAGATGTAGGCAACCAATCCCCCATCCTCTTTTAGAACTTCAGCCACTATGTCATCTCTCTAGACCCTGGTTTATTTGGTTTGGGGGTTGTTTGTTTAGGATTAGTGTTATAAGAAATAATTTTCCCTAATTTTTCTTCAGTGATAAAAGGGAAAATATAATTCTATTTCCCTGGTGGGAACTTCATTCTATTTTCCACATTTATACTTTATACTAACGTTGAGTTTCCCAACTACCCTTATATTAAAGCACTCAGCACAACAGCAAGAAATGGAACCGGCTTCCCTTAATGAAGGGCAGCTGTAAACTAGTCCTTCAGCCAACTCTACCACATGACCAAAAGCTGAATGAGGACCAGAGAGATGACTCAGTAGGTAAATGCGCTTGCTGCCAAGCCCAACAACCTGAGTTCATTTCCCAGGATGCAGGGGGTAGAAAGAGGGATACACAAAGTTTCTTCAGACAGAACAATGGGATAGCCATGGTTTAAAAAGAGAGAACATTGAACTAAGTATCATACCTCATAAAAGTTTAACATTAATAAAACCATAGATTTAAGAGCTAATCTCAAAATGATATTTTTTTTCACACAATAAAATCCACACAAAAGGGCCAGGTGATTAGTCATCAACTTGACACTGTCCATACAATACACTGAGAAGGAAAATTGACACAAAATGAGAGAAGAAGGCAGGCTGTATATGGAGAGCAAGGAGCCACGCTCTATTCTGTGTGTTTGCCACTGCACGAATATAGATCTGTGAAAAATTGCACTGTACCACACAGACATAAGAAAGGACCCATGAAATAGGAAATGTAAACACAATCTAGATGACAACAGTGTACATCTACAAGTAGATACAATAATATAGTATATTTATACTTCCTCACTAGTAAAATGAATACCCAGACCCTACTTGTATATTATTGTGGAAACCACTGTGAATCAACATTTATTTCTTTTTTAAAATTCACTAAGTAGCCAAAGAGGTAGCAGTGCATACTCTTATACCCAGCAATCAGGAGACAGAGACAGGCAGATCTCTATGAGTTCAAGACAGCCTGGCCTACAGAGTAAGTTCCAGGTTAGTCAGAGCTACACAGAGATACACTGTCTCTAAAAAACCAAAGAAAACAAACAGAATAATTTCAATAGGTAAAATTTAAGGTTTGTATTCTTAAAAGAGTCTTGGGTGGTGGTTCAACAGTTAAGGGTGCTTGCTGATCTTCTGGAAGAGCCAAGTCCCAGCACCCATGTCAGGTCCCTCCAACTGCTTGGAACATTAGTCTAGTGGATCTCAATCCCTTTTTTGGCCTCCACAGGAACCTACACATGTATGGCATTTACTTTTATAGAAACATGCAGTGGGACAATGGTCTTGTACTTTTTAAAGGTTGTCAGTTGTACTGGTTGAATAAAATGCTGATTGGTCAGTAGTCAGGCAGAAAGTATAGTTGAAGCAACCAGCCAGTAAGTAGAGGCGGGGTGATGAGAAGAGGAGAATTCTGGGAAGAGGAAAGACTCAGTCTGCATTCCTCACCCAGACACAGAGGAATCAGGATGAGACAGCCTTACTAATAGAAGGTACCAAGCCATGTGACTAGCACAGACAAAAATTATGGATTGCCATAAGGTGTAAGAATTAGTTAACAAGATATAAAGAAAAAAAGAAAGAAAGAAAGAAAGAAAGAAGAAAAAAATAAAAATAAAAAAAGAATTAGTTAACAATGAAGCCTGAGATAATATGTCAACCAGTTTATAATTAATGTAAGCCTCTGTGTGTTTCTTTGGGACTGTGCGGCTGCAGGACCAGGCACAATAGAACCTCTGTCAACAGCAATACATATATACATATAAATAAAAATAGCAAAAACAAGTCTTTAGATTTTTTAAATTAAAAAATTTACCTACCCGTCGGTTTGTGAACACAGAGTAGCAGTCCTTCACTAGTACATTCTTGATCATCTCTGTGTCCGTGATAGCTAACACAGGTGTTTGACCATCATGCAACCTGGGCGAGGAAAACAGCTCATTAACCCAAGCCAGGTTATAAAGTGGGAGCCCAAATCCTCACTTTGATTCCAATGTTATATGACCCTCACTCTGGCTATACAACATGGAGTCACACTAATTCCAAGTCCAGCTTTGGGAGTCTGACCACAGATCCATGGAGTCTTTGTAAAGTGACAGGTGATGTCATTGAAGACACAACGAGTCACTTAAAGACAAAACAATTTGTAGTGAAAATCTCGTAGAGTCATTGTATCTTGGGTAAACATTAGGATTAAAAAATTGTTTCTCACTGTATGTATGATAATGACAGAACATATTAGTTTCTTGTTCAAGGCTCCAAGACCTTGAGGAAATCATAGTCTGGAACAGTGATTGTTTTCTATGACTTATAGTTGTTTTCTCTATGGGATTTCCATCCATTGCATGTCTTTTGTCACAGTACTATCCAGGCATGTTTAGAGGGCTTGAATTATTGGCTACTGAAACAATGCACAATAGGGACTGGAATTGCAGGGGTGTGATTATTTCTTTCAGAGAACATGTAGAATAGATCAAAGCAGCTTTGGCATGAGGAACTTGTTGTACCCTAAACACAACCTTTGTGTAGAATCAATAAATACATTTCTGAACCGAGATTTGAGGTTTAGTTCACAAAAACTGTTCCTCCCTGTTGCGAGTGAGCCTAAAATTAAATTTTGGAATTTCTTTCCTTTGAACATCCCACACAACAGGAAGCACCACACATTTGTTGCCCAGTGTCATGGGTTCAGAGATGAGAGAGGTCTCGATACTCCAGGACTGGTGGTAGAGGATGCTCAGAGCAGGCGGTTCTTCAGGATAGGATCAGGACTTGGGGATTTCCCCATCTCTGCTGGTCACTTAGTGTTTGTTAAAAGGAAATGGAGTGAATGTGAGAGAAAAACAGCTTACAGAGCTGTCGGCAATAGTTACCAGACATTGTTATTGGTCTCATGCAACTCACTATGTTCAATGAAAACTTGGGATAGGGAAGCCAGTGTTGAGCTCCTAATGAGCTCATGTGAGAGAGGAGCCTATACATCCCAGAGAGGAGTCAAGATTTGCTCTTTATATAATTTGATCTCAAATGCTCTGCATCCACTGCAGAGTGAGGAAGCACAGAAAGGTCTATCTGAATTTGAACAGGAAAGTAAAAAGGAAAACATTCAGGCTAGCAACTGTCCGTCAGCAGAGGAGAATGCTTCCTCACAGGAAGACAGGAATGTGTTTCAGAGGAAGAAGAAAGTAAGGAGGGTCAAGGTAACGGAGTTGAGACACTGAAAGTAACCATTAATAAATGGGACCTTTTGGCCGGGCACTGGGGGCGCATGCCTTTAATCCCAGCACTAGGGAGGCAGAGGCAGGCGGATCTCTGTGAGTTCGAGACCAGCCTGGTCTACAAGAGCTAGTTCCAGGACAGGCTCCAAAACCACAGAGAAACCCTGTCTCGAAACAAAATAAAACAAAACAAACAAACAAAAAAAATGGGACCTTTTGAAACTGAGAAGCTTCTGTAAGGCAAAGGACATGGCCAAAAAGACAAAATGGTAGCCTATAAAATGGGGAAAGATCTTCACCAACCCCACATTGGACAGAGGACTGATTTCCAAAATTTAAAGAACTCAAGAAACTAGATATCAAGATACTAAGTAATCTAATTGAAAACTGGTGTATGGATCTAAAGATAATATTCCCAACAGAAGAATCTAAAATGACTGAAAGACACTTAAGGATTTTTTAACATCCTTAGTCATCACAAAAATGCAAATCAAAACAACTCTGAGATACCATCTTACCCCTGTCAGAATAGCTAAGATCAAAAATACTGTTGATAGCTTATACTGGAGAGGATGTAAGTGGAAACTCCTCCATTGCTGATGGGAATGCAAACTCATGCAGCCACTTTTGAAATCAGTATGGCAATTTCTCAGAAAATTCAGAATCAACCTACCTCAAGACCTTACCATACCACCCTTAGTCATATACCCAATGGATGCACAATCATACCGTAAGGGTATTTGCTCCACTATGTCCATAGCAGCATTATTTATAATAGCCAGAACCTGGAAACATCCTAGAGTCCCCTCAACTGAAGAGTGGATAAAGAAAATGTGGTACATTTACACAGTGAAGAACTACTCAGTAGTAAAAAACAATGACATCTTGAAATTTGCAGACATATGGATGAACTAGAAAAAAGCATCCTGAGTTAGTTAACCCAGACACAGAAAGAGAAACATGATATATAGTCACTTATAAGTGGATATTAGACATAAAGCAGAGGATAAATAAGTTACATTCCTCAGCCCAGAGAAGCTAGGTTAAAAGGAGGATTCTAAGAGGGACACATGTGTAGGACACCAGGAAGGAGAAATAGTGAAGATCTAATTGGTGAACTGAGAGGGGATATAAGGGAGGGATGGAGGATGGGAACATGAGGGATCAAGATAGCCAAGTTGGGGGAGGGACAGAGAAGGAGATCAATGAAAGAGTATTGTGATAGAGGGAGTCAATACGGATTTAGAGAAAAGTCTGTTGCTAGGGAAACTCCTAGGAATACACAAGGATGACCCCAGCTAAGACTCCTAGCAATAGTGGAGAGGATGCCTGAACTGGCCTTGCCCTTTAAGCAGATTAGTGATCTCCCTAAGACCCATCATAAAATCTACAACCAGTAACTGATGGAAGAAGATGCAGTGATCCACAGCTAAGCACTGGGCTGAGTTCCTGGAGTTCAGCTGAAAGAGGGAGGAGAGATCATATGACCAAGAATGGTCAAGATCATGATGGGGAAAACTACAGAGACAGCCAGCTTGTGCTAGCAGTAGTTCACTGACTCTCAACTGACATTTGGGGAACCTTCATGGGACCAAACTAGGCCATCTGAAAGTGGGTGACAGTTATGTGGCTTGCTCTGTTTGGGGGTACCCTAGCAGTGGAACCAGAACTTATCCTGTGTTTATGATCTAGTTTTTTAGATCCCATTACCAATGGTGGATTATCTTTCCCAGGAAGACTCAGGGGGAGGGACTTGGTCCTGTCTCAACTTGGTATCCCAGACTTTGTTGACTCCCTAAGGGAGGTCTTATCTCCTCTGAGGGGTGAATGGAGGCTCAGATGGGGGGGATCTTGGGAGGTGGGAGAAGGAAATTGATGGGGAACTGGGGTTGGAGTGTAAAATGATTTTTTAAAAATTAAATTATAAAGAGAAAAGAAAAAATAAAAATAACAGAGATTCCTCTTCTCTTCCTTCTTTAGATGACACAATCTTAGAGATTCAAAAGATTGAAATACTAGTTGCACAGTTGCAAAAATTAAAGATGCAAATAGACAAACTCCAGAGACAAAGAATAAGAGAAATTAAAGGAGAAATCTTCCCAGGAGAAAAAAGGAAAGGAGAAGAAACTTGAAAAGAAATTTTCCCAGTAAAAAAGGGTAGTGTTTAATTAAAAGGCTTTTCCCTATAGAAGAAGGGAAAGTATATAATCAAGGCCTACAAATAAGAAGGCTCAAAAGATGAATAATGAAGGGAGAGAAAATCCTCTTTCCTGTGGATAGAGGAAGGGCAAAGGCCATATCCAATAGAAAAAAGAATTCAGATCTGCTGTAACCCAGAGCTCTCTGGTTGGGTGATGCCTGTCAGTGCTTTCTGCCAAGGGCCAGGAAATGCAGAGAGACAACACCTGAATTCCAGAGAATGAGTGGGTTCCGCTGCTGCAGCCTGTGCTACCACAGTTGGCTCAGAACTTAGAATTTTCTTGTTTAATTTTAGTTTAAATTTTATTTTTTGCTTTTCCCTCGGAGAGGGAATAACTCAATATGAAATGTTCCTTCATGGGAAATGTTTTTTCTTCTGATAGTGGAAATAACTCATTATCAAGTATCCATTCATGGGAGAAAACCATTGAACCAGCCCAACTTGAAGTACAGAAAACAGTTGTAATCATGGCATGAAGTACTAAGCCAATGCTGTTTAAATACATTTAAATGAATGATGTATTAATCATTCATTATATAGAGGCTGTTCTCTTCTCTTGATCATCTGATTAATGCTTAAATGAATGTTCAATTTTTATAGTAAATGACTTAAAGAAAAATTTATAATTTTGAGCTATATTACTGGGTATAATCTTGTCTAGTTATCACTAGATCACTAGAGGGTATTTGATTCTGTTCTTTACATTGCTTTCAAGACACTCTTGGTTAAATTCTATAAAATGTAGTACCTGAAGCAGAGCAGCCTTTTATTTTCTTAACTAATATGGCTGTGGAGGTGAAGCTCATGGAAATAATATCTTACTGAAAAAGAGCCTACAAAAATTATTTTTCCACTAAATAAAATGCAGGTAAATTGTCCTACCCTGTTAATAATTGCCAGTCCAATTTAACATGTTTCTTGGGATCTACAAAAAGGATCATCTTTTTAAGATTTATAAAAAATACTCCACGGTTATTGCATTAAGTTAACTCTTAAAATCAGATAGAGAATTTTTAAAAAATGCTTTTATACATGACTTTGTAAAAAGGACAAAGAATATGTTCATACACAAGTTACATATATTCCTCAAAATGATTGTACCCACTCTGAGTTATATAGCCCAAATTAATATTCCTACAATTTCAGCACCCACTCATAAAATGATGTTAGAAATGAGATAAATTTCTAAAATTCATATTGAAAAAAATGTCAATTAAAAAAACATAGGCTATTTAGATTGTTCAGAAACAAGACAAGGCAGAAACTGTCTACACAAATTTTGATTAGGGGCCAATGCTGGAATCCCAACTGCTCTGCCTTTAAAATCGTTCACTAATAAGCCTACATGGGTGGAGCAGTGGCCTGTAATTAAAACAAATTACAGGCACTTGAGCAACTAGGACAAAACAGTCAGATGTTATATTAAACACATGAAAAAACTACAAATACTTGGCATTCTCCTCTATTTGTAATAAAATAAATCTTAAAAATAGTGGTGATGACTTATTTAAAAAGCTGTAAACCAAGTAATTCAACCTATGGGTCCTTTATAGTCTAGAATTCCATTATTTTCTTAATTGCTTAAAGCTTGGGTTAGAATAGTTGTTAATTTAAAAGACTAATTTTTTTTTTTTTGCTATTCCTTTGCAGCAACTAGATAAAGAAAAAAATGCTTTTACAGTTCCTACTTATAATAATGCCCAGCCTGATATAAATGGAGTTGGGAGGTGGTGGTGCACACCTTTAATCCCAGCACTTGTGAGGCAGAGGCAGGCATATTTCTGTGAGTTTGAGGCCAGCCTGGTCTGCAAGAGCTAGTTCCATAACAGGCTCCAAAGCTACAGAAAAACCATGTCTTGAAAAACAAACAAACAAAAATCAAAACAAAACAAAAAAGGGTATAAGTGGAAAATACTTCCCTAGGAAATGTTAAGTAGTCCAACTTTATGTCCATTTTTAAAAATAAACCACAGGGCAGGGAAGCCTGATCGCTCTTTGGGCTGACGAGGGAGGGGAACTTGATTGGGGGAGGGGGAGGGAAATGGGAGGAGGTGGCTGGGAAGAGACAGAAATCTTTAATAAATAAATAAATTAAAAAAATAAAAATAAACCATTGGAAGTAGTTCATCAACAATGTCCTTAATCTATTGTTTATTATTCTGTTGAAGGATCATTGATCACAATGTGAACCCCGAGATTGTATTAAATAAAATCAACCTTTGGTCAAGAGTCAGAGCCAACAGCTAGTTGGCAGGAAGTAGTCACAGAGAGTTATAATGAGTCTGGCCAACAGATAAATGCACAGGAAATAGTAAGGGGGGGGACACTTTCATTATGGTGGTCCTCTTTGTTTTGGGACAGAGAAAGCAGTGTTCCCTTTCTGAGACTGCAGCTGAGGTGAATGGTCAGCTGGTTGCTTCTCTGTGTTTTTGAGCTAACAGGTTTTCACCCAAGAATCTGACTTGTGAGTATTTATTGGTAAAATTATAAGATTCAGATTTAGTTTAAAAAGAGCATCATTATACGGATACTGTCTTAATAGCTACCTCAGATGTCAATATCCTTGAAAAGGTGTTTACTGAGGTACCACAGATTTTCCCTCAATGGACATTGGAAATTACTTCTGAAACGTTCTAAGAGGATGCTCTCTTATTTATTTAGGTTTAAATTAAGTAAACAGAGAAACTAGCCACAAAAACAAGATTTGAAGAGATTAATAACATATGCCTAATGAGTTTGAAAAATTTATTGAGAATATTAATTGGTTGTACCCTACAATTAGACTGACTACAAGAATTAAGTAGTTTATCTCTAATTTTACAAAGTGACTTAGATCTTAACAGTCCGAGATATTTAACAACTGAAGCAAAAAGGAGTTGGCCTAAGTAGAACAGAAATTGCAAGATATCTACATAGATCAATTAGATCTCACACATTGAGTGTATTTTATTAATTTTACCTTCTACTCATTCCTCTACCGGACTCATTATGCCAAGGGAAAATATTATTTTAGAATGTATATCATAATCAGAATGAAAATTTAAAAACCTCTACAGAAGAGGTTTCTAAATTAAATATAAAAAGAAGAATAAGATCCATTGTCAGAAATGGATCCAGCTGAGATTGCAGTATCTTATACAAATGTTGAAATTATGCAATGATGGGTAATTCATGATGACTGACAGAGCCTGTAGCAATTATTCAGGTGAAATCAGCAACAGATACCCCCAAAGTAAATAAATTCAATTTACAAAAAGAATTGAATGGATTCTTCCCCATTTAGTAAATCTATTTCTGGAGCTCTTACATTTTATACTGATGCTGGTTCTACAGCACGAAAAGTAAAGTATTCCAAAGTCTATATGCCTCAGTCAAAAAATCAGAATCATATGCTTTTCTAAAGATTTTATTAGATTTTGATGGGTCAGTCTCTTAATATAATTCCTGATTTTCAATATTCAAGATTAGTTGTATTTTATATAACAACTGTTCAACTTGTTCATGATTATTCAGAATTTACTCTGTTTTTCATATAATTGCATATCAGGATGGTAATTTTTTATCATTCCCATTGTTTTATACAGGATTGACTGGACCATAAGCAAAAGGAAATGAAGAAATTGATAAAATATTAATAGAAATTATTTTATAATCTTCAGAATTTTATAAAACATTATGTTACAAGCCGGGCGGTGGTGGCACACGCCTTTAATCTCAGCACTCGGGAGGCAGAGGCAGGCGGATCTCTGTGAGTTCGAGACCAGCCTGGTCTACAGAGCTAGTTCCAGGACAGGCTCCAAAGCCACAGAGAAATCCTGTCTCAAAAAACCAAAAAAGAAAAAAAAAACATTATGTTACTAGTAAAGTTCTAAAGTAAAAATTTATATTACCTGGTGATAAGCTAAAGAAAGTATAAAAAATTATCCTACTTGTTTTTGGTATAGTTCAATTCCTTTACCTGTAAGAAGTAATCCTAAGGATAATCAAAGAAATGAAATTTGGAAAATGTATATATTTCACTTAACAGAATTTGTAAAATATAAAATATATACATCATACTATTGATACATACTCAGGATTTCAATGAGTATCTGCCTAAGTTCTGAAAGGGCTGATTCTGTAATTACTCCTTTATTAGAAACAATGGCTATAAAGGGAAAATCAATGCAAATTAAACATAAGCACCTACTTACATTTTCAGTAAAATAAAACATCTTGTGTAATTATAACTAAACACAATACAGGGAGAGCACATAAACCTGGACAAACAATTGTTGGAAGCTCTAATCACACTTTAAAAGAGATGTCATTTAGATGCCACTTTTGAAAGTCTTTATTTTTAGAGCAAAGCCAATGGTTTGGATGCCAATGAGTTGCTGACACCATTGCAAGCTCACCTATGATGATTCCAGTCCAGAAACTCTCTGAAAGAATATTAAGAAGAACTCATAGAAGGATTGGATTGATGGTTGCTGTGGTATGGAAATTATTGTATTGACTGTAACTGTTGTCATGCCTGGACTAGCCCTTCATGAGGTAATTCAGACTGCTGAATTGATTAAAGTGTGGCATAAACATGCTGCAGAACTTTGGACTTAGCAAAATAAAATAGATAGCAAGGTAGTCAATGAAATAGATGCTTTGAGACAAGTTGTAATTCTTTTTTTTTTCCTTTTAGAACAGGCTGGCCTCGAACTCACAGAGATCAGCCTGCCTCTGCCTCCCGAGTGCTGGGATTAAGGCTTGCATGTGCCACCACTGCCCAGTTCATTTTGGTTTTTAAATACATTGAATCTCCAAAGTCTGTTCAACAAGACAGTACACAATGATATACACTTCTATCAAAAGTCTTAGCAGCAGATGGTGACGGTGCATGCCTGTAATTCCAGAACTCAGGAGCCAGAGGCAGGTGGATCTCTGTGAGTTTGAGATCAGTTTGGTCTACAGAGTGACTTCCAGGACAGCCAGGACTGTTACACAGAGAACCCAGTCTCAAAAACATAATAAAACAAAATAACAAAAACACGAAGTCCAGAGTCCATGGAATATCAAAGCCTTTCAAAAAGCCACAATATACAATGTTCTCAAGATAATTAGTCCTGTGAATCATGGCACTTCATGACACATGGCATCACCTTTAAAACAGCGGGGCCATTACTACAATTTTGGGTTGGCATTGTCCTGCACAAGCAGAGTACATTCCCCTAAAAAGAGTCAACTCCATGGGACTTTCCAGAATACTCACCCCCACAGTTTTCCATACTTTTTATAGCACTTAGCATCAAATTTCCATATACCCTGGAATGAGAAATAGCATGAAATCCATTATTGTCCTGTATGTGCCAACCCTTCTGTAGCCAGGGAACCAAACCCTCAAATCCCATGAAATAAAGTTAACTGTTTCTGACAGAGAAAAGTTCTTCAGTAACGTTTAGTGGCACCAGCAAGATGACTCAGTGGGAGAAGGCTGAGTGATATTGCAGGACACCTGACCCCTTCCTGTGGACTCTGCATGCACAGCCACAGGCATACACATGTACACAGCAGCATATACACACATAATAATAATCTTAATAAGAATAATGAAATTGTTTTGCAGAATTTGTAATCAAAACATAGAACGTCTACAAGAAAATCTGAGCTGACGGCAGTGTGAGCTTTGCCTCTCGCCCTCTGAACGTGAGCTTGGGAATGTCTGCTGTGGACTGACCAGAGGCCAGGTGTCAAAGCAGGTTCATCACAAATGATCCACATAGACTAAAATGTGGCACATGACATGCTTATTACTGAAGTTTCTAACTTCAGTTGTTTTGTTGAATCTTCCTTTTCCCAGTGGTTTTGCCTTCAGTATCTTTAAATGAAAATACAGTGCACATTGTGCAGTCCAGTATGTGAGGTGACTGACAGCCAACATCCTGTCTCAGGTTACACACTTGCTGCTCACACTTTCACAGGCTGCTGCCTTTAAAGGAAGAGAAGGTAGGTCCACGTCCATGTTAAATCACTTGCTGGCATGTCTAAATCCCTGAATCCCATTCTCAGCACCACAAAACAGAAACAGTAGAGAAAAGCTGTCTTTAGGGCTGGAGATGTGACGTTGCAGTTATGAGCACTTGCTGATCTTCCCGAGGGTACAAGTTCTGTCCGCAGAACTCACACCCAACACCTCACCTCACAACCATCTGTTTCTTTGGCACCAGGGAATCCTGTGCCGTCTTTTGGCTTCTGTATGTACTGCACTTATGTGCATAAACCCACATGGATATATATAAAATCTTCTTTCTAAAACAAACAATCACTAACCTGGACCCTAGTTCTTACAGAAAGAGACAAAAGCAAAATACGCTAAACTCAAGAACCACCATCATGTCGTGAAGAGTAAATGGTGAGACTAGAGCTATAGAAGTTGTTTCAGGGGTTCAATAATTATGCAGAGAACCCAAGTACACGAATTGTCCCCCAAAGGTGTGTATTTATGTCTCTGACAACCTGATGTTTCAGAAATATTCAGCAAAAGGAGAAAATGATGCCCATGAGTTGGATACAAAGAGAATTTTATTTAGTTCATACAGGTTGATGTCCTAGAAGCTGGAAACCCCCTCAAGATTTTCTTCAAATAAATACAGAAGTGCCTTCCTGGAACCTGCCCTGGGTAAGAAATAAAGTTCTTTTACTGCTCACAAAGTCTGAGCTCCTGAATATCAAGATTAAATGGGTTGGAGATCTTTGCATTTCACCAAAGACAAACCTGAGGCTCAATAATCTGACATCAGGGCCAGTGAGATGGCTCCGATGAGAAGGCACTCGCCACCAACCCTGACAACCTGAGATTTATCCCTAGGACTCAGATGGTGGAAAGAGAAAACTGACTCCCACAGGTTGTCCCTTCACCTACAAATGCATGCTGTGGCACATACACACTCACCCCAAAATTAATAAGTATGGGGGAAGTTGACAATGGGGACTGTGGAAATGGTTCAGTGGGAAGAACGCACAATAAAAGCCAGAGTTTGAATCTCCAATATCTGCATAAATGACAAATCAGGGTTAAAGTTCTCCAGTATCCCCACTTGCAGGAGGCCAAGACAAGGGATCACTGGAGCAAGTTGACTAGCTAAACTAGTCAAGTCAGAGAGAGCTGGGTTTGTGAGAGACCCTGCCTTAAAGTATAAAGTGAAGAGCAATCAAGAAGACATCCAGTACCAACCTCTGGCCTCTACATGCACACATATATCCATGCATAGGGACCTGCACACATATGGGCACTCATGCACATGTAAGTACAGGCATACACACTATAAACACACACACACACACACACACTTGATAGTTTTAAGTTGGCAACAGAGCCCTAAAAAAAATCACTGGACATTCTCTAGTATCATGAGAATACACAGTATGAGGGCCTGAAATCACACTATCATTTCCTATCAAGGAGCATTTAACAGAACTAAACCATTTTTGTCCACCAGGAATCAACACTGACCTCATAATAATTCAGCAGAGTTCCTAAAAATGGCAGAGGTTTGGGACCAGGAATTCCCTGTTTCTTAAAAACATCATGGTTACGGGTCCCGTATCTATAGAGTGAAACAGAAAGTCTTGTGACCACACAAACAGCAGAGAGAAGATAAACATTACCAAAGCCAAATCATGAAACATACCAACAACTTGGCTGCCCCTCCAGTTCCTAGGGTTTAGGGACAGAGTGAGGGGTCCAGTGTGCATGGCAGCCCATGGTTTGTATATGCTCCTACTGAGTTCTGGTGCCTCTAGGTGTAACCTGAAAGTCACTCAGGTCATACCAAGAGTAAATCTTACCAGAAACCCTCTTCACCTCAGCAAGAGGGAGTTGAAAGTGTGTATGTGTGCCCAGCAGATCTGCATAACATAAATATGAACTTTAATAGTTAGTGTCACTGGGGCTTTAGTACAGTAGTAGAGTGCTTGACTAGCACATATAGGCTCTGGTTTGAGACCTCTTTCTGACAAAAATAAAAATGCAAAATGAACACAATTATTTCATCTCAGGCCTTCAAGATGACTGCACAGGTAAAGGGATTGACTTCCAAGTTTGACAACCGTAGTCTGACCCACAGGATCCCCATAATAGGAAAGAAAAGACTCCTAAAAGTTTTCTTGTAACACAAACACAGACACAGACACACACACACAGACACACACACACACCTGTCTCACGTGCTTCTTCTATTCCCATTAAATAAAAACATGCAATTTCAAAGTTTTTTTTTTACAAGAGTTAATTTTAACTTCTGTTATCTCGTTTTATAATTGTATTCTGGTGCCTGTGGAAGGCATTACGTCCCCTGGGACAATAGTTACAGATGATGTGAGCCACATGTGGATAGCAGGATTCTAACCTGGGTCAAATAGAAGAGCAATCAGTGCTCTTAACCACTGAGCCATCTCTCCAGCCCCTGCTTTCCTTGTCACTTTTGACCTTGCACTCAATACCAGAATACAGGTCTGAGTACAACCCCAACCTGAGGACACGGTGGAAGAAGAACTTTGGTGGTTACTTGTTGGAATAAGAGCGGCGGCGGGGGTGCGTCCCCAACACCCCAGCCGCTTGGCTAGCTCATGCCCGAAATAACAACACACAAACTGTATTCATTTAACTGCTTGGCCCATGAACTCTAGCCCTTACAGGCTAATTCTCGCACCTGGACTAGCCCATTTCTAATGATGTGTGTAAGCACCCCAAGGTGCGCTTACCGGGAAGATTCTAGCCTATGTCCATTCTGGGTTCGGAGCTGAGAGGAGCTTCATTGCATGCATCTGCCCAGGAGATCAGAGCATGGCGTCTCTCAGGAAGCAGAGCAGAGTCTGACCTCACTTCCTCTTCCGCCCAGCATCCTATTCTGTTTATTCCACCCACCTATGTTCTAAGCTATGAGGCCAAGCAGTTGGTTTATTATAATTAACCAATTACCTTCCTCTATCAGTTACTCACCGGTATAGGAGCACCAGGCTGATTACCAGGAGGACCCAGGTTTCCAGGGAGAGAATTGAAGTCAGGTCCATCGTTGCTTGTCTGTCAGCAATGTTCCCCTCTGTGTTCTCCCTCCAGCTGTGTGTGTTGTCCTTTGCAGGGCTTCTCTTCCACTAATGGTGCTGAAGTGTGCCCAGCCTGGGGTGTTTATATTCTGGGAAGTTGCAGTCCAGGTGTGTGCACGGCCGGGACTTTGGTCTCCTGGATAAATCATGAAGTTCATCCAGCCTATTTTGACATTCTGTGAGTTAACATTCTGTGTGTAGTCAATACACAATGTTGTCATTTCAGAAAGACCAAAGGTTATTTTTTAATCAAAAATTTGAGCAAATTTATTGATATGAAATGCCCTTTCACCAAGGATGGCTTATGTCAAAAACACATGAAATAAAGTCAAAATTGTTCTATGTGTAGATCTTTACAGAATGTCTTTCTCCTTCCCTGTAAGATACTTCATTATTTTTCAGAACTCAACTTAGAAAAAAAAATAGTCTCTTTGAATCTGTCCTCACCTGTGCCCCTAAGAAATAAAACCACTTCTCCTGAGGTATGTCTCCTTCACATGCATCTCCTTCCCTCCAGCCCAGCACTGAGGGTCTTCCCGTACAGCACCTTTACTAGATTGCGAGAATATTCTGAGTAGCAGTCACCCAATATGTAATAGAGTGGTCATTCAGACCTGTCAATTTAAGTTGGGAGAGGTGCTGGGTTGAGAAGGTTCCAATTATGTGTTAAAATGTCTTTGATTAGTTTCTAGTAAACGTTAGGGGACCCTTTTTTGAGTGATGAGAACGTTCTGAAACTCACTGCCTGTGTAGCTTGTTTAACCACATAGAACCACATGTAAAGCATTGGAAATTATTCTGTGAATGGATAAATCATGCAGTGTATGAATATATGTGTATTCACATTCTGATGAATTGCTTAAAGTTTTTATTTTCATTTGAGACCACTGATGTTTGTTTGTTTGAGAAAAAGAAAATTTAGTAGTAGTGATAAGAATCAGCTGGGAGAGTGACAGCTCAGCAGTCACAAAGCCCTGGCTCCATCCCCAGCACCACGTAATTGGTGGTACACTTCTGTATTCCCAGAACTCAGGGAGTAGATAGAGGCAGGGGGATCACAAGTTCAAAGAGGAAGTTCAAAGCTACATAAGGAGTTTGAGGCCAGCCTGGGGCACATGAGACCCTGTCTTGGGGAACAAAAACCACCAACAAAACCAAATTCTTCGACTCCTTCAATATACCAAAATTCATTACCTGCTGCTCCATGCTAGTGGTCATTATGAGATGAGGCAGACTTTACCACTTCCTGCTGAACTGTTTGTAATGATTGTTCTGTCTCTTTAAGAGACAAGCCAAGCCCACTCCCTTCCAGCTAGTAGCCTCAGAGCCCCACTTTCTCTTCTTCCTGTCCCCTCTCTTGGAGAGGCAGCCTCTCTCTCTCTCCCCTCCCCTTTATCCTTCCCCTCCATAATCCACCTAATAAATGTCTAACTTTACTCTGTATGGTATGTTTATTTGTCTCTTTCGCCCAACTGCCGCAGTCACATGGAGACCTGCCACGTGGTCTCTTGTGCCATTCCTGCTTGGGACTGGCCACTTTTGGGACCCCAGCAGCTTGCAGGAAACCCATCTGCATGGTGTGCCTATCTGTCTGCCCCTTGCCCACCTGCCACCCACATGGCTAGCCAGACGCTGGGGACGTCCAGGGGACCAGCCACCTTTGTTTGTTGACCTGCCACTGGTCTCAACCCTGCAGCAAGCTGCCGGGACCCGCAGCAAATCCATATTACTGTTGACACCTAACAGGTCCTGGGTGAGAGGGAGGCATTGTAGCATTTGTGTGTTAGCCCACTGGTGAGTGGTGAGTCCACAGGCTCTAATGGACAGTTCTAAACCCATGGTCACACAGATGGCACTAGTTAAAGCCTGCAGGATACAGAAGAAATCCTGAATATGGGAAAGAGATTTGCAGGGAGGAAGTAAGATCGACCAGGGTGGGAGGGAAATAAGTGAGAGTGGGGGAAATTATCCAGAATTCATTATATACAGGTTGTCAGACAACAAAATTTATTAAGTAAAAATAAGTGCAGAACTCTGGGTTGGGGATGTAGCTCAGTTGACAGGGTTCTTGCCTAGTACTCAGAAAGCCCTAGGCTGGATCACCAACACCACAGAACATGGCCGGGTGGTGGTTCTAATCCCTGCTCTCCAGAGGTAGAGACAGCAAGATCAGAAGTTCAAGACCATTCTTGGCTACTTAGCAAGTCTGAGGCTAACCTGGACTACAGTGATAGGTCCTGTATTAAAAAAAGCACATAGCCCTCCAATAAGGATATCAATGTTGTGCCCAGATTACGACCCCCAGAGAGACCACCACAAACCACAGAAGACCAGACTGTAAAAAGCAAGGTAGAGAGGAGTTAAGAGTTTCTTTGTGGGGTTTCCTTTTTTTTTTTATTTTATTTTCGAGACAGGGTTTCTCCGTAGCTTTTGGTTCCTGTCCTGGAACTAGCTCTTGTAGACCAGGCTGGCCTCGAACTCCACCTGCCTCTGCCTCCTGAGTGATGGGGTTTGCTTTTTTAAAGGCAAAAATCACAAGCAGCCCTTCTGGGTGGTTGTGGTGGGGGGGGTTGGCATGGGTGTAAGGGCTTTGCTTTCTCTCCTAACCTGTTTAGTCAGTTTGTTCTTTGTTTTCAGAGTGAGTCACCCTGCCCCTGAGTCAAGCCATCTTTATCAGCCGCGTGGCTGGGCGTCCTTGTGCTTTCCAACTTCCAAGGCCATTATCTTTCTGGGAACATGAAGTTAGTCTGCGCTTTCTGATTTTCAAACATTCTGGTAGGAAATTCCTTCTCGTCCCTTTAAGAATAAGGTATGAGGGTCTCACATCAGTAGACAGAGACTCCAGGTTTTTCAATATACAACATTATATACAGCATTTTTAATAGTTGTATATTTTAATATACAGTATCGCATCTACATGTTCTTTTTTTGTTTGTTGATTATTGATTTAAAAAATTATTTTTTATTTTTATATACCTACTCCACTTTCTCCTTCTCCTGCCTTCCAGCCTCCCCCTTCCCATATTTATCTTCTCTTCAGGTGGGGCAAAGCTTTTCTTGGGGAGTCAATAAAGTCTGGCATACTAGGATTTGACAGGATCAAGCCCCTTCCCCCCATTTCAAGGCTGAGCAAGGTATCCCACCAAAGGGAATGGGCTCCAAAAAGACAGGTCATGCACCTGGGATAGGTCCTGTGCCACTGCCAGCCCCTGTTAACATATCAAGTCACACAACTGTCATCCACATTCAGAGTGCCCAGTTCAGTCCTGTGCAGGTCCCCCAGTGAGTCTATAGTCTGTGAGCTCTCACTAGCTTAATTCAGCTGTATCTGTGGCTTTCTCCTTCATGCTCCTGACCCCCTTGTTCATATGATCCCTCCTCGGCCTCTTCAAATGATCTCCATGAGCCCAACCCTGTTGAAAAAAAAAGTACATGGTCTTTTAATAAGGAAATCGGTAGAGAGAGACTCCAGATTTTTAAATATTCAGTATTCTATGCAGTAGATACAGTATTTTTACAGTTGTATATTTTAATATGCAGCAGTGTATCTACATGTTCCCTCTATAATTTCATTCTGTGGATGTAAACAAACAAATGCTGCTGGGGATGTAGTTCAGTAGAGCATATGAGTAGCATGCATGATGTCCTAGATTCAATCCCCTTTAGCAGGGGGAAAAAAATCCCAAATCCACTAAGTTGAGGCAGCACTTGGTAAAACTTTGGGTGGGTGAGACGGCTTGGCTGGTAAAAGTGCTTGCTGCCAAATCCTGATGACCTGAGGTTGTCCCTGGGACCCACATGGTGGGAATAGAGAATCAACTCCTGCAGGATGTCTTCTGACCTCCCCGTCCTGCATGGCATGGCACAGTCAGACACACAAAGAAAGAACAAATAATATAAAAAATTAAAATAACGTCAAAACCATGTACTCTGTTATTTTCCCTGTAGAGAAAAACCATGTACATGGGTTATATACCTGTCCAACACACTGACCAGGTGATGACTGTTGGCATGGATTCCAAGCGCTCTGGCCATGTCCTGTGATAAGCAGGGCAGATAGATGGCCATGGGCCTAAGGCTTCATACTTCCTGGAGAAGTTACTGATACCCAGTTCTTTTTCATTACTCTGGTCCTATTTATCACTCAGGATCTTCCAAGTCCTCTAACTCAATCAGGCTCCAAGAGCTCCTGATTGTATGACAGAGCACTAAGAAGGAAGGATTTTACAGAATTCACCAACCATTGTGGCTTTGTGGTCTAAAGTTTACATTATTTTATCAACTGGAGTAGAGAGTGTGGAAGATTACTCAACCACAAGTGCATGCACACATGTGCACCCTATGCCAACAAAGCTTACATCAGACAATGATATCTAAAGTTTACTGCTCTAAGTACTTTGCCCACATTAATTGATAGTATGCATTTCTCAAACCCATGAGTATTGCTCTATCATAAGTGAACAAACTGTGTTCAAATGATCAACATTCATCTCTAATGCAACAAGGATCCAAGAGATCATGTGGCTGCAAGGCTCACAGTCTCCATCTTTTTTTATTTGCAATTTTGAAGAAAAAAATGCATCATCACCCTTACTCTCTTTCCTCCCATTCCTCCACTCCATGTCAATATTATGATCCCTTTGTAATTATTATGATTACACATATATAAGTATAAATATATAAAAACAACATGCTGAGTCCATTTAATATGGTTTGTTTGCATGGTTTCAGGGCTGACCACTCTGTACCAGACAATCAATTAAGAGACCCATCCCTAGGGAAGACTAATTCTCCCTCTCTCAGCAGTTATTAATTGCCTATAGGTCATCATCTAGGGGTGAGGTCTTGTGAGATTCCCGTTTGTATTAGCATGTCTATTAGTGATGCCAGTGTTCAGATCTTGTTAAGGTAACAATATTGTTGTTCTTTCACGGGTGTTACTTCCTACCATTTCTAGGAGACACTATCTTATAGTAGACTTCCTGGTCCTCTGACTCTTACACACACACACACACACACACACACATGCACAAACACACACAGACACACAGAAACACACACATTCTCACACAC